GATCAACATTAAAAAACTCTAGTTCATGATCATTCATGCTACATAGGAAAGGAAATAGGGATTATATTTGAAACCAAAAAGGGAATAAATAGCCTCCGTTTAAATTCCCTCCTGTGAGATTCACTAATTTCAATTCAAAGGAAGGAACCAATGTTATGCGAGTGTATCTTCATTGTTGGACCGAGCTATAGTATTAACTGAATTTGTAAAGTAATGTATTATAACCAGTTTGCATGATACGGGTTATGTTCTTTTCATATATTTTATGATGGTATGAGACTTAACTCCTAACGGGAGGGATTGTGCTTGCTTTTCATTTGATGAAGACATAATCTTTAATCAGTTTAATTTTGATCTGGAGCTGGCATGTTAGTAACTGCTAGTAGTCCTTTGTTAATTTATGTATCATTGCATTTTGCTTAGTTTGTTTTGTTACCTATTCTGTCATCGGACTTCGTTTGAACTGAGTTTTACTGTGCGTGTTGTCTGTGTTTGTTGATCCTACATGGGATAGAGCTATAGGGGAGGGTTGAGATCTCACAAAAAATGGTTAACAATTTTACGCCTGTCCCAAGTCAGGAGCCTCTGGCATTTGCTAGTCTTGTATGTTATTTTTTCTTTTAGTTCATTTCTATTTTTTGGAGTTTGGTGTGACGTCCGTTTTCACTGAACTAGTACACATTTTATATAGGAGTCAGATGAAGCCCTGCTCCGGGTGCGGGTTTTATCGTTGTGTTGAATACCAATTGGTAGCCTTTTTGCTGTTTGTTGTCCTTCGGTCGGGTTGATGTCTCATTGACACATTTCCCATTTCCATTCTCAATTTTAATTTTACAAATAAATCTCGTTTCCCTCATGTACTTCCCTAAAAATGTCTTGGAATAAAAAAAAATCAAAAAAAAGAAACAAACACACATAATTTTCCCTCGACTACATACTTTGCAGTGATGCATTGCAGTCAAACTGTTTAAACGTCTATGTGATTAAAATCGTGAATTGTTTCACGTTAAGAATGATCTTTCATATTATTCCTGATTGTGACATTTTGCCGGAGTGAATGTTCGTATGTTATGTAATGTATGCATAGCAGAAGACGCTTACCATGTCGACACATTCGGTCTCGCTTTAAGAATTTTTGCGCAATTACCTTAGTTTTTGGGTTTTTTTTTCCTGTTTTGTTTGAAAATTGGTGCTGTATATAAACTCATCATAGATACCAGGATTGCAATTCTATATTGGCGCGAGACGCGCGTTTTGTCTACAAAAGACTCATTAGTGACGCTCAAATAAAAAAATGTTAAAGACCAAATAAAGTACGAAGTTGAAGAGCATTGAGGACCAAAAATTCATAAAAGTTTTGCCCAATACAGCTTAGGTAATCTATTCCTGAGGTAGAAAAGCCTTAGTATTTCAAAATTTCAAAGTTTTCAAAACGATTAATTTATAATTATTATTAATCAAATATAATTCATGTCAACACAGAAGTGCTGACTACTGGGCTGTAGGATTCTATACAAGATGTTAAAATAATTGTTCTAGACATTACATTTAAAGATTATCGAACGTCTCTTGTCTCAATAAATGATCTCATTTTGAAATCTTCAACCATAGTAACAGTGCAGGACTTTGATAAAAACAACTCCAATTATTAAACCATAAGGTAAGGGTCAGTGAAACCGGTATATATATTGAGAGCTTTACATACTGATACTCAAATATGTACATGCTATTAACCAGGGCTTAAACAAAGTACTGCGGGTTACATTTTTTTATTTCCAATGACAAAGTTTAATTAATTAGTATCCTTACATTGGTTTATTTTTTAAACAAATTATGTCGGTCACTGTATACTTACTTTGTTTTCGGGGCAAAATGTCTCTCGAACCTTCCGTTTTCCTTGTGAGACCAACATAAAATTAATTCATTTTGTGTATTACTTTATTAGTAGAACGTTACAGTGTTAAACCATTTATATCTTCATTTGTTTCAAAACACATTCAACAATTTCTAGGGCAGCCTGTGACCAAATAGGGATTGTACCAGAGTTGAAAGCATTATTTGCAATATAGATATCGTCGTATTTTGACGGTTGTACAATCTGTTTTTCTACTTCATTCCAAATATAACCAGGTTTCCAAAAATTCCAATCTCCTCCCCATGGATAATTCTTCCAGAATACAATTATACCATCAATAGGGTATGGGATATGCTTAAGTGGTATCTGATATATTTCCGATAGATATTTGTGCGCAAAGCAAATTGTTTCATTTCCTGGTTTAAAAGTATAATCATTTTCACCAGCATTCCTATTGTCCCGTCTTGCCAACTCGAGCCATACATCTACATCTTCATCAAGGTACATAGCATTTAAAACAGATTTGTGTGTGTATTTAGATGTACCAAAATCATAAGTATGTCTGAGAGGTGTATCTGATGCAATATAGTTAGTATGTAAGTCTTTACGTCTCCACCATGGATAATCATACACTAGGAATAGCTTACTCTTGTTAATATCTTCTGTAGCATCCGTTAGTAACTTCCGTATATGTGGTCGATAAAGAACATTCCAGTCCAATTGTTTCAGACCAAGTCTGTTAATTCCCAGGATAACCTTTTTAGCACAGTGTCTAATTAAAGTCTTGTCCTGAAAAGAGTCGCAAATAGGAATTGAACGATTTTTTAGACAAATGCATGAAATGATTGATTTATTATTGAATTTATACTAAGCGCAGAATTAAAACAATGTTCAACAGTAGAAAGTGGTAAATTTTCGTTCTCTTCCAACTTCAATGTTAAATCCAAACTTTAAATCAGACTTAAATGTCTGTGTGGTTTCTTCCATTCAATCTTCCTTAAATATGACAAAATGGACGCAACTATAAAAGTCAATCCCCAAATTGTCAATAATATAGTGATAGAACAATATATATGTAGAGACAAAAGATAAATAACACACCCACATTTTTTTCTTTGGAGGCACACTAATGTAACATTTCTAATGTGCAAGCAGTTGATTATGAGTCCAATAAGGAACAAAGATACATAACAAAAATACCGAACTCCAAGGAAATTCAAAACGGCAATTCCTTTATCAAATGACAAAATCTAAAGCTCAAACAAACCAAACGAATGGGAAACAACTGACATAATCATCACTTAGTACAGGCATTTCCTTATGTATAAAATATGGGTTTGAAACTGGTTTTATATCTTGTTAAACCTCTCAGATGTATGACAGTCGAATAGGAATACCAACTGTCTGTTAAATCTATGTCCGTTTAAGGTGGCTAGGGCGTCTTTTAAAATTAAAATCGATAGAGTTCTTTAATAGTTTGTCAAAATGAAGTTTTTATCATGCTTTTTTCAAAAATATAATAAAAAGTATGGGTCACCGGACTTTTTTTCACGCTACAGGTTGTGCAAAATTTTCAGATTTTGTATAGATTATGCATGGAAAATCTAAATTTTGTTGATAAAAAGAAAACTACACCATAGAATTTTAAGATAAAATGTAAGAAGATAGCTCTAATAACATGCTTTCATATAAGAAAAAAGAAAAAATTGGGTAATCGGATTTGTTTTCTTGCTACATATTAAAATAGGTAAATTCACAACACTTTCTTTTATAAAATTACTTTATCAGAGTTATCTGCCCTGCTTTCTGAGTTAACTCCCCTCATTTGGCAAAGTTGAAAAAAAAATGAATCAAACAAAAATATTGTGTTTTGTAGAAAATACAGCCGTAAATATGATAAAACATGTAATTTTCTATATTAACATTAAAAGTCTTACAAAGAAATTACATACTACTCTTAAAATTTGCACATTTCATGAAAGATCTAGACCAATTGTTATCTGCTACTTCAAAATCCAAGATGGAGGAATACACCCGAGCCACCTTAACGTCATAAATAGGTTTATTTACTCGTTATCTTTTAAATATTCCTATGTCCGACTTCTCAAATATGAGTTGTTTTAAGAAGGAAATGATATCATTATTTGATAACTCTTGATAACCCTGAATGGGAGAAAATTTAAACACCAAGTATTGATGTGTATAAAGTTAAGAATTAGTTGTCATCATACAATGTTGTAAAAATTCAGCAAAAGAAAAAACACAACTCAGAAAATGCAAACTATAGTATTTATCAGCTGTGGGAATGATCAGGTAATAATAGTAAATCCATACCTTTCTAATATTTGTCTGTCCATTAATGGTGTCTGTACCTTGGAAGAAGAGGTCATACTTTCCATCAAATCGCTTTTTTATAGCTATCAAATTTTTATTGAGATGAAGGGAATGTCTGCAATAAATATATTTTTTTCTAAAGTTTTTTGAGAGAAAAAAATAATGTCGATGTTAACACATTATAGAGGGTGATGCGTCCTCAATTATCTTAAATCAGGTGAAATAATTAACGTCTAGAAATCACACATATATAAAATTGATTAAATTGAAAATTTAATGTCGATTCTAATGCAAGCGGCATCTGTTTCGATAAATCTTCTTTGATACACTGAAGACAAAAAGTGAAGAAGTAAAGCCTTGAAATTCCAATAGTTCTAAACAGAACACATTTTATTCATCTCCCTTAAACTTTGGAAAAACATAATTCTGGAAATCTCTTTTGTACAATAACACAATTCATCAGACTAGTACTCATAATAAAAGATACATCTATAAATAATATTGAATAGACAAACTTAATCGTTGTTACATGACCAAACAAAACGTACAATGTTTTGTAATTGTTTACATCAAACTTTTGTCTCTGGTGGATAGTTGTCTCATTGACAACAATATCACATCTTTTTACTGATGTATACTTAATATATGAACAGAATAATTTTTGTATTTTCTTAATGTTTAAAATCAGAAGTTAAAGTTTCAATTCGTAATAGGATAGCTTATATCTTTGATGAGTTTGTGTCATATACAAATACAGATACAAAAAAAAATAGAAAAGCAATTTAAAAAACTAAATATATATACTTTTTACTAGCTTGAAGAAACATATCGACGAGTCTTTCTGGTAGTTTATTCATTCCTCCAGTAATAGTATTGACGATGGGATTTGTCGGAGGAGATGTCGGTAGAGCTACAGTTGCACTTGTGTCTGAGCCTTGCATCGAGTTAAATCCATTAAGGTCATTTAAATAGTTATAAACTTCCTGGCCACCATATTTCAGGTAAAATGCTTTGACACTGCAAAAAAAAACGTATTTCAAGATTTGACGACTTATAGTTACGTGCTTTATTATATTATACTATTTAGACTTACATTACGTGTGTTGTTGAAGTGTGTGATACAGATATGCATATGTGTATATGAATTGAACATTGAAAGTGGGTGTCGGTTTTCCTTCCGCTGTTATCAGTCTTCCTTATTTTATCGTACACCTCTCTGGTTTCTTTTATATTGTTTGTTTTGAAATCTAATTTAACTTGTTTATTTATCATCCCTTGACTAGGGAAAATAACAGGTTGAAACTGTGCATTGGACTAGATAATCCCTGCAGACCGTGGGTTAACTTTCATTGTTTTCATGTTGTTTTTTTTTTTATATGTCGTTTCTATTTATAAATGTAAAACTCGCTGATGTTTCCCTTCGATTTGCTTTTTGTTCAAAGCTTTATTTAGACAAAAGAAAAAGAGAGAAAAAGTAGGATTATTTGAGGGACAGATATACTGATAGAAACACTTTTTAGCTGAACTTTGCATTATCAAATACTGTTTGAAACTTGATGTTAACCTCAATATAGATCTTTAGTAAATAATTTAACTCCATTACGAAATGACTTGTGTTGTAAGCAATCGTCATAAAATGCCTACCTTTGATCATTGAGATAGACACCATCCACAGTTTTAACATTGAACTTTTGGCTGGCAGGGTCATTAAAGTACTGCATGTTTGTATACTTGTTAAACAGTTCTCTAGAATAAATTACAATTAATAACATTAATGAGACAAATTTTACCGCACCAGTTGCGCATCTCGATAATTGAAGTCTCTTCGGTGATGATCGAAGCCGAACTTATTTAGAAATCAAACCTTAATACAAACCTTAAAGAGATGTTAACACGAAAAAGGAAAAAAAGAATAGCAAGGCTAAAAACCAATACAAACTTTTGACTAAGGGAGGTAAATTCCTTGATTGAAAATTATTCTAAAATTCATATTTGCATTCCATAGTACTGGCCACTGTGCTGTGATCGGAAACTTGCTAGTATTACCCTAGTGTTACAAAATTCCGTTTATGGTACCAAAATGACCGCTCAGAATTAGTATTGCAACTATCGGCGATTCTTCAATTATGATCGAGCCAAGCTGGTCCGTGCAACACTTAATAATTTAGAATGTAAAACTTTTTTTTTTATCAAAGATTTAAAATATCTCTTTCAAATTTTAGAAATTTTGAATATTTCGCCCAAGAAACAAATAATCAAAATATTAATAACACAGAAAACGGGCGAAAATAGAACATCTGTAAAATTACCAGTAAAAACGGAATGGAACGAAACAAACCGAAACGAAACGAAGTGAACCTTTTTTTAATATATCATAAAAAAGAGGCTATATAGGGATACGATTTGGAATTTTTTTCTTTAAATCTCAAAAATGATTTTGTCAGTTTTTATGGACCTCCTCTTTTGATTTGCCTTCCAGCTCGGTATACTTATTCACTCTAATGTTTTGAATCGTTATTTCTAATAAAACGCTTTTCATTTCCCGCAAGTTTGTCTTTTAATTCAATCTTTCGATCATATATTAAACTGTACCTTTTTAGCTGATCTGGGGGTTTTAATTGAGATGGACTTAAGCCGTACGGTGTTTTAGGTCCTCCTACTTCTTCAAAACGTAAATGATTTCCTCTAAGGTACAGCAACGTATTTGGAGACTTCGCCAGGCCGCCTAATTCAAATATTTCTGGTTTTAAGCCAACGTCACAAATAGTTTTGTTGAGCAGTGTGTGGACTGAAATATAAGTATATTAGAATGTGCAGTTTATTCAGATCTGTTGACTAAACTATGTGGTTTGATAATAGCGACTTAAAAACACGAAAGAATCATAATGCATGATATGATATAAGTTCTAGGCGCACATATGGTTTATGTTCGAATGGCCCTCATGAGGTATCATAAGACTGACATTTAGCGATGTTCTACGCAGAACAGTAAAAATAGTATTAAGTTAATGTTTGCCCTTAGTTTTAGTGAAATGATTAGAAACGAGACATCAAAACAAAGATAAAGGAAAAGGAATATTGAAAATAATCATAAATACAAAACAAACCCCAAATAAAAACATTTATTTTTTTGCATGGTTAAATGTTATGGTTCAGATAGCTGGGATATTTTGCATTAGTCAAACACGTAATAACGGAAATATTAAAATATATTTCGTCATTTTAAAATTTTTAAGTCTGAAAATCGTTCTAGAAAACTAAGAACTAAATGCGAGAACTTAATTCAGTGACATTCAGCTACCGGCTTTTCATCTGACAATATTTGAGTTGAAGAAATTACAAAAGTATCTATGAAAACATATATGTTTACCTTCTGGGTAAAATCGCATTGCACCGAGTTCCACGTTTATATCAGGAGCTGATGGGAAATGATAGGTATTTAATCGTCCACCAATTCTGTTAGAGTACTCATAGATAGTTATTCTTTGGTTGGTATGCCGCAGTCTCCATGCAGCATACGATCCTGCTATACCACCTCCAACAATAGCTACATCGTCACAATTTTCATCTGAATTGCATTGAACGGCAAATAATTAGTGACAAAATTATCATTCTTAATTTACAATGATATATTTTGCTTATTTTAGCCATACGATGTACTTGCTTATACATTACAACTCTCTTTGATGCCGTGTGTCGACTAGCTATAGGTTTCCAACACTTAACACTTTGGGAAAAGGAAAGTATCTAACAAAGAGTAAATTCAGTGAAGTAAGTCAAATTAGATTCATAATTAACAGTTACGAGAAATGTAAAGACAAAAGAGACCTATTTTAGAGATAAATGCACTGGTCTTCCTGATGACTTAACAAAATTTAATCACGTCGGGAATAGGACAGTTTTTTTTTTCCATTTGTTTGATGTGTTTGAGCTTTTGATGAATGTCCAAAGCCAAATATTTGAATGCTAAGGATGTTTAAGATCAGAAAGATTTAACGAGCTTTATGACCAAAAGGACCTAAACAAAATAGCTAAATCCATCTTAGATCATTTTTAAATTTTATGGGTAAATAAATCTTTATGATAAAAAAAAACTAAAGAGACTTTAAAAGAATAGCCAAATCCATCAAAGGTCAAAGTTCCCTGAGTGACCTAAAACCTTAGATACTTTTTATTTTTATAATTTATAAACGGAGAATGTAAGAATGGTATATATAAATAATTGCATTAACCGAAATACTGACTACTTAGTTGACAATTCCAACCTACAGCAATATTACCAAAACATAGTAAATAAAAAAAAAACTCTTCATAAGTTTCGTGCTTCCGTAGCAGTTTTGTAGGATTACCTTCTAACCGAAATATTTGAATGCCATGGAAGTATACATTTTATTCAGTTATTTCCATGATACTGTAACTTCAGAAAGTATTGTGTGCATTTATCATGGCGATTAAAAAAAGCAAAAATGCAAGATTAATTACTGCCAAATCAGGAAATCTACATACATTTATATCTTTTGATTATCGTGCGAAACTCACTCAGTCGCATTTTTCGCATTAATAAAAACCTTGCAATGATTTTTAATATACAGTTTTTATATCATGATACCAAGATTGATTTCATCATTATTGCATCATAACCTTAACGGTACAATTTGACTTCACCAGTTACGCATTTCGACAATAAATGTCTCTCCAGTGATCAGTGCTCGAGGCCAAATAACTGTGAAAAGAAGTCTTCGTTCTCCAAAGTTCCTTAAATTGTCGAAATGTGTTTTCTGATTCACTATTTAAATGAATTGCCTTTCATTGAAAAATATGTAAAAATGACTATTCCGTATTTGATCATATCAATTGTTAAAATTGGATGATTTATTTTGCAGTGTGTGTTTCATACAGATGTAAAAAATAAGTCTTCTCAAAAGTCAAAAGTCAAAATCAAGGATGTTGTATAATTCCCATTGAGACAACTATCTATAAATCAAACTTCAAGGATGTGTTAAATTACAGGTCAGCATATGGCCTCCAAAAATTAGTAAACCCACAATACATTATATATGTGACGGGTGCCACATGTGGAGCAGGATCTGTTTACCCTTCCGAAGCACCTGAGATTACTATCGGTTTTTGTAGGGGTTCGTGAGTAGAGATAGTTTACCTTAACAGAAAATACAAAGGATACGGGGTATCCATCTATGACAAAAAATCAGTAAGCTGTATTCGGCAAAACTTTTAGGAATTTTGTTTTCTCAATGCTCTTCAACTTCGAGCTTTATTTGACCTTTTAGGTTTCCGGTTTGTGACACAAATCACCCCACAAAGCACCGATCTTAACGTTGTTGTTTCTGACAACTTGATGAAAAATTAATTTCAACTTATGAATAAGTCATGCTCTCCCAGACAAAAATGTCAATCGGTAGAACTCCGACGAATTTCGTTTCAAGACTATATAAACAATCTGAGAAGAGCAAGATCATGTCAAAATATGAATAGTGAAATGATATAGGACAATATATGTTTATTCCTGAATAACAAAACATGTTTGTGTTTGAATTAAAATGACAGCATTTCTAGTACTATTAAAATATATTCAAAGATCTAACAACCATACTTTGTTGACAAAATTAAGCATGCGGTCATATTCAACGTACGTTGACAATAAGTGTATATGGAGCGGATGTTAATTTAAATTTACGAGCTCGATGTCCTATTCGAAAAATACAATTTGTTTTTCTCTTTTTCTTACATATTTCCCTGAAAGTTTTCCAATGCTGATTGATATTTAACGTTAATGAAATATAATATTGTAACATTCTTGATTGATGTGACGATAAGTATATTTTAACTATTGGTTCACTAAATAGTGAAGATATAGTCTGTATTACATAGCCTAAAACTAAAAATCTCTTCATATGTTGCGCCTAAAATGATAAAAAAAAAAGGTGTTATTACAACATTTCTGCAGTTACTTAATCTATCTATATAGAACTATAAAACTAAATTGGAAGACATACTTACAATATGTGTCATAAGAAGAGCATCCACCAATATATACCAATATGAACGCTGTCAGAGTCAATGATTGCATATTGCTTTACAAATAGAAAGACAAAGGAGTATTATGATATGCTAATTTTGTTTCATACGACAAAGCCTTCACCCCTCTCTATTAAAAAAAACAAACATTATAACCATGTCCTTCACATATTTGTGCAAACGATTAGTGTGACTATAGCACCCGGTTATTATATATATGTTGCTAGAACAAATTTATTATCTTTTGTTGAATATCTACAAGTAATTACCCAAGTAATGTTAAAGTACTGCGTTGCTTTTAAACCTATCCTCGTTAGTCGGATTATGGAATAATTACATTATATAATTATTCTTTGAGATGATGATTTTGCGGTTTTTCATCTTATGTTAAAAACCATTCAAAATACCTAAGGTGTTCTAAAGAGTGGCATCAATAACCATCTAAATTTGACTAAATATTTTGGAACGCAGTTATATTTTATGTTCTTAACCCTAGTAAATGATTTGGGTGCCAACGAGTCTTTTTTCAACAAAACACATGTCCGGCATTCTTAAATAGAAAGCCTGATATCTTTGAAGACCCCATATAATTAAATTGCCTCACTTTTTGCTTCGTGGACTGCCATAAAATCTAAAAATGCAGGATATGGTTTTAAAAAGAACAATTGTAGAGGTTACATGTTTTCTTGCTGAATCAACATATATAAGACACGTGTTATATGATTGCAGCAGATCATAAGGACTGATTTCTCAATTTAATGTGTCAAATTACTGTTAACCATTTTTTTTTAATCGTCGTTACATTTGCGTGCGCTTGGCGCTTTACTTCAATATTTTCTACCGTTGTTGATTTTTCATATATGAAAAGAGAAAGGTTTTACATATTAGTGCGTTTTATTTTTCCTAGCAATTGTTGCGAAAATGGAGCTATCGCGAAGGTTTGCAGCATGTCTCTGAAAAGTGAAACATTTAAAAAGTGCTATGGACACATGAAATTATATTTTCATTTTTTAACATAATTTCTTGATGTCTTATTTATGCAATTTTGAAACACTGAACAAATTTCATGAAATGATAATCTAATAAAAGGAAGGAAGTACTTAGGTTTATGACTGTAACAAGAAAGAGCGTGTATTGTTGATCCTGTATTATAAGAAAAATGCGACAGTATTTGTAAATTTTATTCAAGCCCTTTCTTTCTTTCTCCATTAAGATACATATTGCAAGAGTATTCTTTTCTAGTCCTACAATCAAGTATGGAGCACTTTTGTTGATACAACAAATCCAGGGTAGTCTTTGTATTATATATATAAAACAAAGCCTTATTTGCTTATTCTTCCGGAGTACCTTAGAATCACTCCGGTGTTTAGTGATGTTTGTGTTGCTCAGTCTTCAGTTTTTATGTTGTGTTTTGTAGCCTGTTGTTTGTTGTGTTGTTGAAAGTTTGTTTTCGACTTTTGACTTTGACTATCCCTTTGGTATCTTCAGCCTCTCTTTCATGATTACGGCTCAATTATATCAATATCAACATGATCTTAACAAATATTATATAAGGATTTGTTAATGAACAATACTTTATACTATATAGTTACAAGTATCTCTAGTATTGTTTCTGAAAATTGTTTATATTTTTGCGTAATTGTTTTGATCAATGTGTTTAAATGTTTAATTATCGACATCAGCGATTGAATATTGTTTAATTAAGCTTTAGATAGCATTATGTACTGCAATTACATATGTATATGTTTTAAAAATGAGAAGATCAAATAAGTTGCATTTTGTATTAGAAATAAATAACGGAAGTTAAAAGATCTGAAAGCAAGACATGTCTATTGAAGTAGGACATTGTAGCATTTTGAAACATTGTTTTGATTTAAAATGTTTGATATATAAGTTTTCACGTAGTAAAAAGATTCAAACATCATAATTAAACTCGGAAAATAAACTGTAAAAAAAGACATAAGATACGATTTTGACAAAAAATTAAATTACGATTGTCCTTGTTTCAAATATTTATAAAAGCGGAATTGTAAAATGACATTTTCCTGTGGGCAGTCAGTATGATTCAATTTGTCAAAAAAAAAAACCAAAATCATCGGTAATGTATTATTGGCTTTCAAGTCAATAATTGAACTGATTTGAAAACGTATTATTCGTCCGACCTTCAGCTGGAGATTGACTACGCATGTGTTAAGCATGTTCAATTATTACAAATCAAAGAATGAAAATTGGAACGTGAAACTAGGGAGCCATGAGGGAGATCCATTTCGTTGGCTAATTCTTATTCAAATAAAACGATAATTTACGAATCTTTTTTAATCAATGACATGAAATCAAACAGAGCGAGAAAAATCGCCGGTATAAGATTGCTTGTGTCTGTCTGTGTATTTTTATTTATGTATATGCTTATATCGAGACTTATGACAATCGGAATTCTTTTGATGTCATCTCGAACATGTCGAAGGTTAATTAGGTGGTGTCTAGTCTAAAATACACACCAAATGCTGATCCATTATAAAGAGTCCATTTATTGTAAATCTTTTCTTTTGAAGTTTTTGTAATTTGAATGTATGTTTTATTATATAATCAATCAAATATGAAAATTTTGGGTCAAATCGATGAACATAGATTTGACAGCTAGTGTCTCTTTGATGGCATATTACTGTTCATATTATTAAATTAAAGCTGTCAATTATTGGAAGTAGATCATCATTTCGTTTTTCAGCTATTCTTAAAATCCGAGCACAATGGCCTAAGGGATAGTCAAACTCATAAGTCGAAACCAAACTGACAATGTCATGGAAAAAGCGAAAACCACGAAAATACAGACAACAATGCACACAACAAAACATTGGAAACTTATAAAGACTGAGCAATACGAACCCCAAAAAAAAGCCGGGGTTGATCTCAGGTGCTTCGGAAGCAGTAACTCTCTGATCCATCGTATGACGTTTACATATCTCATTTGATACGTTACGCTCGTGCATGTTCACACTGTGTGAACTTTATTATGAGAGGTGTGGTCCTTGCACAATACGACTCGATCGATGTGTCCTATTTTCGATTGTGACATTTTGATTGAGTGTGGATTCGCATGGCTGTAAATGCATGCACGGCAGGAGTGTCGGAGGACACTTAAGAGACAAAATAATATTTCGATGCAATTTTGGAAACTGTTTTATTGACACCAAGATGACAGCCAATTTTATCATGGCACATGAACAATACAGTGTCCGACTTATCACAATGAACCACAAGTTTGTCTATACTTTTTTTGGCCTTCTTGACAGTAAAGGTATAATATAACTCCTGCAATTTTATTTCATAATTTTGACATTTTCTTCAAAGTGTTCGCCTTACATTTTCATTGAACTTTTCTGGGTATCCAATTTTCTTTGAACTATAGTTGTAAATTTGTCGGTATTCACTGCCATCCATTTTTTATGTTTAAACTCATCTATTTCAAAAATGTCTTTCTTTACTAATTAAATCTCAAGTATAATAAAACATTTT